ATAACCGCCTGACGCACGTGCCGGAGGCGCTGCGGGATCTTCGCCTGCTGAAAGTGCTCGACCTCGGCAACAACTACATATCGAGCGTCCTAGGCTCGCAGGTGTCCGGCATGGAGCAGCTGGTGAACCTCCGTCTCGAGGGCAACGTGATGACCAGCGTGACGCACGACGTCCTCAGCGCCCTGCCGCACGTCAGGGTCCTCAACTTGGCCAACAACCGCATCCGCAAGGTGGAGCCGGGAGCGTTCGAGTCGAACGGCGCGATGGAGGCGATCCGGCTGGACGCTAACCAGCTGACTGAAATGAGCGGTCTGTTCACCGGCCTCTCGCGTCTGCGCTGGCTCAACGTCAGCGACAACAGGATCGGTCGCTTCGACTACGCGTCCGTGCCGCGGGGCCTCGCTTGGCTGGACCTGCACAAGAACGAGATTAGTGAGCTGGAGAACCGCGAAGACATCGCCGACCAGATGTCCATCAGGACGCTCGACGTCAGCTTCAACAGGCTGACGAAGCTAAGCGCCAAAAACCTGCCGAAGAGCGCCGAGCTGCTGCTCCTGAACGACAACTTGATCACGTCCGTCGAGCACTACACCTTTTTCCTGATGGCCAACCTCTCACGCGTGGACCTGTTTGCCAATCAGATCACGCGCATGGACCTGAACGCACTGAGGCTGAACATGCCGAACGGAACGGAGACCGTCGCGAAGTTCTACATTGGTGGGAATCCTTTCATCTGTGACTGCACACTTGAGTGGTTGCAAAGGTACAACATGATCAACCTCTTCCTCCACTACCCTCGCATCATGGACCTGGAGAGCATCTACTGTCGCCTCATCTACAACCGAGGTCGCAGCTACGTGCCGCTGGTAGACGCTGACGCATCCATGTTCCTGTGCCCGTACAAGAGGCACTGCTTCACCACCTGCCACTGTTGCGACTTCGACGCCTGTGACTGTGAGATGACGTGTCCGGACAAGTGTCGCTGCTTCCACGACCAGTCCTGGTCCTCGAACATCATCGACTGCTCCAACAACGACTTCGAGGAGATCCCCTCCCGCCTTCCGATGGATGCCACCGAGGTCTACTTGGACGGCAACGTCTTCAGAAATCTCTCCGGCCTCACGTTTCTGGGCAGGAAGAACCTGAAGGTTTTGTATTTGAATGGCTCCAAAATCGAGTTCATTCACAATCAGACTTTCGCCGGTCTGTCGCAGCTCACGATCCTACACCTCGAATCGAACCTGGTCACCGAGTTCCACGGCCAAGAGTTCGTGGGCCTGGAGCGGCTTCGCGAACTGCACCTGCAGGACAACCAGCTGGCGCACGTGGAGAACGACACATTCGAACCGCTCCGACAGCTGGAGGTGCTCCGACTCGACGGCAACCGGCTGACGGACTTCTCGGCGTGGGAGCTGCAGAAGAACCCCTACCTGGTGGAGATCGGACTGACCGGCAACCCCTGGACGTGCGCGTGCCACTACCTACGCCGCATCCAGCGCTGGCTGTCCGCCAGCGCCAAGAAGGTGGTCGACGTCGGCTCGCTGACCTGCTGGTTTGACGCGGCGGGGCCGGGCCGCCCGATCCGCGGCGGCAACGAGACCTGCTACACGACTGACGCGCGGATGACCGTGCCGGGCGCCGGCGCCGCCGTCTACCTGCCGCTGCTGGTCGCCGCGCTGGTCGTGCTTTGCCTGCTGGCATGCCTGGCGGTCGTCGTGTTCGTGTACCGCGGGGAGCTGCGCGTGTGGATCTACTCGCGCTGCGGCGTGCGCGTCTGCTACCGCTCGGCGCTGGACGAGGAGCACGAGCGCCTGTTCGACGCCTTCGTCAGCTACAGCGACCGCGACAAGTCGTTCGTGCAGCATGTGCTGGCGCCGAAGCTAGAGCACGGCGAGCCGCCGTACCGGCTGGCGCTGCACTACCGCGACTTCGCGCACAGCGCGTACCTGGCCGACACGATCGTCGAGGCGGTCGAGTCGAGCCGCCGGACAATCATGGTGCTTTCGAAGAACTTCATCGAGAACGAGTGGTGCCGCTTCCAGTTCAAGTCGGCGCACCACGAGGTGCTCAAGGACCGCCAGAAGCGGCTGATAGTGATCCTCCTGGGTGACATTCCGCTCCGGGACCTGGACCCCGACCTGAGGTTGTACCTCAAAACCAACACGTGTATTAGCTGGGACGACAAGCTGTTCTGGGACAAGCTGCGCTTCTCCATGCCCGATGTCAAGAACAATCTCCGCGCGCTGAGATCTGTCTCGCACTACTCGGAGATCAACGAGGCCAAATACTACCGACGCAGTCCAAACACCATGGAGAGCTTATGGGGATGAGGTAAGTCATTCAAGCCATTTCTGCTTCGCTCCACTATCTGTGATGAAATCCGTCTGTCATTCTGCAGCCGCCTGTTTCGCAGACTGCTGCGGTCATTTCTGTTACCGAGGGCCTGTTTGCTCATCGTGTGATTGTTGGAGCATTCGTTCACGCAATCGAGCAATCTAAGTCATTACTGCACTTTTATTGTGCAGTTAGCCTAGCTATAGACGCCAGAGATGGGCAGGAATGTCAGTGTGACTGGCACAAAACAAACACCAAGGCCTTCACCATCACGCACGTATGCTGAAGTTTTTGCCCAAGCGTCATTATCTAAAACCATCCTTGCGACGTTATTGAAGAGGCGCACGCCTCCCCTGCGGTACATTCTCTTGGTCTGAGCACAGTCCGCAGTCAGAATCGTGCTGTTTCACGGCTTGGCGCCATAAGTGCAGGTTTCAGCCCACGGCGGACACCATCTAATGGTCTCACATTACATGCATAAACGCATCATATACATATACACATATATATATATATATATATATATATATATATATACATATATATATATATATATATATATATATATATATATATATATATGCATATATAGACATATATCTCCTTATGCTTGTCGATTTAATTTATACCAAATTTAAGCAGGTTCTAAATCAAATTCATGAGCAAGCGCCTACGATATTGGTTTTAGGCATCCTGTGCGTAGTTTCTTACGCCGTACGTTGTCTGATAGTCACAGAAGCGAGACGAATAACGCAGCCCGTTGTCGGGAGCTGACTGGGATTTGTCTTTTCCACCGTACTGATTCTAAGTGAACTGTTTCTGGCGGGGGCGGGGGGCGTGTACACTGTATGTGTGTAAGATGCATCGCTTCCCCCGTGTGGCCGGAAATAATTGAAACACTTAGAATACGTTAAGACATCCGCTGAGACTTAAGATACAATTACCTTTTCCATTCGGATCACGTCAGATCAGTTTTCTCTCCCAGATCACGCATGTTGACATTGTAAATAATTACTGGATGTCAGTAGGTGGAAGAGCGATGTCTAGGATCCAGTTGTATCTACTAAATAACGCTTCTGTAAGAATTTTGTCGAGCTCGTCTCACCTCACAACTGTACGGCACCCAATGAATAATATCAACGGCACACATATCCACGGCCACGCCCTAATTTGCTCCCTCAAATGGGAAAAGCATCGTGCAATTTAGGAAGCAAAAATGCGTTCTTATCTGTGAAATAAATACGTAGGCAGCATCTTTCCGAAACCATGGTGGATGAGCTCGAACCGTCTCATAGATCTCTCTAATTTCTAAATCGACTTATGGATTCCCACCCAATGGCGTGAAGACATGTATCTACATGATGTTCTAACCTGATGCACCTGCCGAAGTTGATCAGCAGGCATATATATATATATATATATATATATATATATATATATATATATATATATATATGTGTGTATATATATATATATATATGTACATGAATATAAATATATATACATATATATACATATATATATATATATATATATATATATATATATATATATATATATATATATATATTTCGCTTTATTCGTCCGGTCGTTTGAGAGGTCCACGTTTTATTCACAACTAAATTCCCACGGCGCTTACGGCCTGAGAAGAAACAAGCAACGTGACGATCAGACACCGTCGACGTGTTTGTCAAACCAGACTTTTGAATTTTGGCCCAACCTGCTCCATCACTGCCAATAACAAGACCTCATTTCGCCTCGCTGGAATGGCGAGAGCATCACATTTCCTCATCCTCCAAAACACCAACAAAATCTCCCCGCTGCTCGCGCGCCTCCTCAGTAAAGCTTTTGTTTTTCCGGCATAATAATAACAGCGACCCTTCACACCATGCTCTGCTTTGTATACCACGCACCTCCGGCGCCTTCGTTCTAAAGCGAACATCGCGAAATGATGCCGTCAATTCCGCGCGGAACGCAATTTGGCGGCGGCCGTGCCCCGCGAGCAGCGGCGGTGGACGGGCTGTAGAGGGGGAGGAGGCGGCGGTCCCCGTCGCTGGGGGAGGGCACGGCGGTCCCAGACGCCGGGGGAGGAGGCGGACGGCCAGTGCTGCCGCGGGTCCGCGCGGGGTGCAGCGCGCTGCTGGCGAGGAGGTCCGTCGACTGGAAGGGGGGTGGGGTTTGGCCAGTGGTGATCATCGCATCGATGGCGGGGGTGTTGTGGATCGGAGCGGGAGCAGGGCTATGGTGGACTTGTGGGGGCTCGTGTATACCAACCATACCATACCTCTCATACCAACCGCCCCCGTGATGGCGGCTAGGACGCAAAAGCGCGCTCAGGTGAATGGGCCAGGGGTCACACTCCCGATCCCCTTGCGGAAAATATAACACCTAAAACTAGATCACCGCTTGAGCGTGAGAGCCTCATGAAATCCGTGCGGTGGCACCAGCTCATCCGGTCGGCGGGTCCTCCGCAATAATTCAGCATGTGTCGGCCGCGCAGCCCGCTGGGTCTGTGAGCCGCACAGCCGCTGGGAGAGCTCCACGGCGCGTGACCGGCCTTTGTCGTCGCTAATGCGCCCACGGCGCCCGGCGCGCCGCCGCCAGGCACCGGCGTCCGGCCGCCGGATTTCCACGTCCAGTGTCCGGCGCCGCGCCGCCGCCGCCGCCGCCGCCGCCGCTGCCGCCGCCATTCAATTAAGGCGGGATCCGATGACGCTCTGCGGCGCTGCCGGAAATCAGGGCGACCGTCGGTCACGCGCCGCCGCCGGCCGCCGGGGACCGGCCTCGATTTCCCGCGGCGGCCGGCGCGCGCAATCTCTCGCCGCGGAGTCCCGCGCCAGTTCCAGTGCATCTTTTATTCATCGCATTGATCCTGCGGCTCTGCTGGCCATCGGTCTTTATTTCGCGCCGCCGGGCGGTCGCGGATGATGCAGAAACATTTGGCCGGCGGGCACCGTTTTGTCCGTCGCGGCTCCGTTCGGTCCGGCGCGCCGCGCACGCTCGTTGCCGGGCTTTATGCGCGGCGGAGATGGCCGGCATCTGGCACGCTGACGGCTCAGACAAATGCACGCAGCGCTCCCGGAAATCCGCGCCGGTCGTGAATATCAATGGCAGCTGTCGGAACGGAGGAGGCGCGTCGCCGCAGCCAGCCGCGGCGATAATGGCGCGGCGTCGCGCCGCCGCGCCACCAACGCCGCCGCCGGTAGCCGGGTGTTCGCGGCCGGCTGACGGCTGTTTACCCCGAAGACACGCTGGCCCGCCCCCAGTTACATGCATGGGATTGGTAATAGCGGGTCTGGGAGCGTGCGTGCGCCGGGGCCATGCCCGGCCGAGACCCAATTAGGCGCCATTCGGTTCCGGCTCGGCTGAGGTGCACCGGGCCGGCATTGTCCAAAGTCGCGGCGCGGAGCAAACGCGTCGTACGGAAATTATAGACCCAAAAGTGCGCCCCGTAATCAGATGGCCGATGGGTCGTTGGAGCGGGGACAAAAAATCCACGCCCCAAGTTCGGGTTAATTGTAATGATGATGATGAGGACCGGCCGCTGTTTTTAGCTTCCCGCGCCGCCATAAAAATGAACGTAAGGAAACAGGCTAATGAGCGGCAAGTGTGATTTTCGAAGTTTTTGGTCGGGGGCTGCCGGTTTTCACACCCGAGAGATGATAATGAGACAGGGGACGGTTTTTGCGATCCGGTCGCAGGCGCCCTAGCGCACGGGCTCGCCGGGCATCTGGATCACCGACACCGACGCCGCACGTGGACCTCACCGGCCGCTCAGGATCGGCGTCTGGTCCGCCGTCGCTTCGGCCGGTTTCGGCGGCCCCCGCCGGACGTGAACGCCTCCGCTAAGGTCGGCGTTGGCCAGCGCCCGTGGCATGCGGACGCCCCGCGCCGCGCCGGTAACGCCGCCGCGCGCTGCAAACGTGCCGCGCCGCGGTACGATCGCGTCGGTACGTGTTACGAGCCCGACGCCACCTTCAGACCGACGCCGCAGCCGTTCCGTCATTGTTCGACTCCATCACTTACGACTTATGAGACTTTTATGCGATCTGTTCATATCGACCGCGGCGAGCGGCGCCGGCCGCGCTCGGCGCGCGAGGCTCGGGCGCCGCTCTGTCCGCAGCTCCGAAAGCCGACGGATTCGCCGGTGGCGGCCACCGCCGGCGGGGTGCGAGGCAGAGGACGCCCGCCGCTGGCCCGGGCCGGTCGGCGCGTCCAGCTCGGCGGCTGCCTCCCCGGCTCCCAGTGCCCGGGCTCGGTTGGCAGAGTCCGGCTGCACTGGGAGTGCACTGGCGGCCGCGATGCGCGAGGCGAGCCGTCAACACAGCACACCGAGTCAACACAGCGCTGCTATGCTTACCGGCATTTCTAGTAATCACAGACAGTATCCACGACGCTGATGGGATCGTGTCTGCACTAGAGATTGTGCCAAAGTTACCCATGCAATGTTACTGTAATTCCACTGAGACCAGTACGTGATTTATCGACATCCCATTTTATGAGACGCGCTTCATCATTGGTTTCTAATTTCGGTAGCGGTGGGATGTCTCAGGCACGTGTACCGGACTGGCCCGGCTGATGCCAAATTGATTTGTATTAGACTCAGCATCTGCTATTGGCAGCTCGTAAATGAAAATGTCGAGCAATACGATTGATGGGTTCTTTAAGCCGCGTTCCCTGTCGGACACAAGTCAGGAATAAAACTGCACGGCTGGTGGAAATTTTAAATTTACTGAACAAATTTACATGCTAAATTTGCGCTGCGGCTGTGCGGCATCTCCCTCGTTCTGCTTTGAAAACCACCACACGATACAGTCCGGGGAGGGATCTGCGGCGCGCGCGCGACTTTGAACCGACGCGGTAAGCGCGCCGCAACCGCCGCTGTTGTCTTCGGTCGTGTCCACATTATGCTGCAGCCGGGCCTGATTTGTTGTTGAAGTTACTCACCCGGTACAATGGGGACGAGCCTGACGTTGAAAGTTGGCGGGCCCGGTGGAGTTGACGTGGAGCGCGGCCGCTCAGCCGGTCCTGCAATCGCGCACCGCCCCCGGCAGACCTCGTCCATCCTGACCACTAACAAGACGCCAGTACGAACTTTAACCCGCACCCTTGCACCATAGCATTACATTATTCATTTACTCCAGTGTGAAGGTGCCGCAGAAATAATTGCGGCCTAACCGCGGTGACTGCGCAGCCGGCGGCCGGCGGGCGGCCGCGGCGTCTCATTAATTTCCTTTGTTCACCCACAGGGTTGTTATGATCTGCATCATTATGCGTTTTATGTTTTCCTAAGAGGCAGCTGGGTCATGCAGGGCGCGGCGTCGGCAGGTGTTACGCGAAGTGCAGCCGGCGCGCCTCGTTCCTAACCGCCCCGTGCGTGCGTCTCGTTGCAGGTGCGCTAAACGAGCTGCAGATGAACACTGTGATAGACGAGGGGCCTGGACCGCCGGCGCCCAGCCAGCGCTGGCCATCGCCGAGGCAGGGCATTGCCCTACGTGAGCATCCGCGGAACGGAGGTGCCCGCGCGGCGGCCGCACGCGCGCTCTCCACCAATCAAAACACGGCCGCCATCCGACCGACCGCGGCTTGTTTTACTTTTGAGGGGAATCTCAGGGATTGTGTGCACCCGGCGTCGGGGAGCGTGTCGGTTCATGTCTCGTTCTGGAGCGCTTGTACGCTTGTGTTGCATTTCCGAGCAAGTTGCTAGCATTCGCTGTTGTTCGGTCGATCGTGCCGCACTGTCGCCTCCGCTCCGCAACGACGCTGCTGATCTGAGCCAGCCGATGGGTCGTCGTCGGCGGGATGTTCGCCTGTTCTTCATTATTCTAGTCACTCATGTGCGGTCCCGTATCAGTGTAAATATATCCTGTGATATGTACCGAAATATAAGCATCCAATCGACGATGGCCGTTGCTTGTGTGCATGAAGCCGCGTGGAAGCGTCCACGTGATGTCCGTTGAGTCTCATGTTCGACTTCAGGCCCTGGGAACGACACAAGTGGTTGCCATAAAAAACGTGAGCGCACACCTCGCTGCGTGCTCAGGCAATGTCCAGACGATTACCTGGCCCGCCATTCCATGCTACACTGACTGCCTCTTTTGCAAGTGTCATTTCGGCAGGCAGCTGGTTGCGTGCAGCAGCAGCATCGTTAGCAGCGGGGCGGAACAATCCGAGTCGTGATCGCCGCTTACGTTCCCCTTAAACCCTCGGAAAGACTGGCTCAACAGGTCCACAGTAGCCTCCATCCGCCGAAGCCACTTATCTACGGTGCATACGCGCGTCAATGCGAGTTTTCCTCCAGCGGTCAACAGTTTGCTCACCTCTCAGCCCTCCTCGAAAGGAGTCCTGGGGACGAACTTCGCCGATCCGTTCGGCATTCGCCGCCTCAGTTTCGCCATCGCCTTGCGGTTTACCGCAGAGAGGCGTGGCGTCGGTCAGCTCTCTCTCGGCTCCCTTTCTCTCTCCGGTTCGGGGGGGGGGGGGGGGAGCGTCGCTGGGGCCGAGCGTCCGGCGGTCCCCGACGCCGCTCCGGTCCGGTGGCCCTGTGCAACGGCGCCTCTGCAGGGTGTGCAACGCGACACCGGCGTGTGACGCGCCACCCCTCGCCCCACAAAGAGAGGAAACCGACACAGACGGACGACTGGTGTGAGAGGCGACGGTGAAGCAATGCTCGTCTTTAAGCCCCAACGTTCGGTCTTTATTCGCTTTGTCTGGCCGACGTGCGCGAGACAGGAGCGTTGCACGGCGGCGGCACGTTTCAAAACACACAGAGCACTTCTGACAGACATGCATAGAACACCATATGGTTTACGTTTTTCCCCTCCAAGACTTTTATAAATGCACTGTTCATCCGCGGCGTTTCACGCGAATTGGATAGGCCCACATCCCATTTTTGGAGCCATCATTCGGAAGAGCATGCATTGAGTGAGATTAATGGCGATCCGGATCAGTTTACGTGCCGGTTCCCTCGGATCCACACAGAGCGGACGCCTGCGTGCCAGTCCTTCATGACGATCACGTCGCAGCGGTGCAACCGGTGGCAGGGCTGCCGGCGCGACGCCCGTCCGTTCGGCTGGGTCCAGGGTCACCAGCGGCCGTTGGCGGTTCGTGTCGGAAATGATCACCTGGGCCACGTCGGCTAATGCGCCGCGGCCGGTTATTTGGGCCCGGCGCGGACCGGTCTGGCGAGGGTGCGTGACTGCCGGCGGATTTGATCCGGGACGGGAGGCAGATGGCCGCAGCGCCCCTCTCTGGCCCGAGTGACTCGCCACGCCGCTTGGCAGCTCGTGCCCGGCGGCGATGCAGACGCCGATTGAATGTCAGACTGGCTTCAACTCCATGATCTTGATGGGGGATCGATGATAACCGGACTACCGCTTTTTGAGATGAAGTGCTTTTTGGCTATTAAAAGAGTCAACCCAAATTTGGTACCAATGTAAATAGTAGTTATCCAAATTATACGGCACCAAAAGCATTCGGCTAGCGCCCAATGTTTCGGTATTTTCGTTGATGTGTGCTTGCTTCCCAGCTCCACTACCGTGGACTATGTGGACCGCTTGCTGGCTTCTATAACATGCCACTGAATCAGTCTCATCTCTCCCCTCCTCACTATTCAAACCTCCCGTCTCCGCACCCTCCACCATCCCATGACGTAGCGGCTCTGAACCCGGACCGGGATGACACATCGGGGTTCACGAGACACTTCCGCTGCGGGAGGTCTAGCCCATGACTCCGGCTTTCAGCCTCCATGGATGGGCGCAATGAACGCGGCCGTCCCGTTTGGCTTCCAGTCGAGCAGCGCGGACGTGCCTGCGGCCACCAGTAGCAGCGCGCCGGGTCAGGTCAACTGGCCCGGCGCGAGATATGTGAGCCACGTCGTGCCGGGGCGGGCCGATGGGACATCATTGAAATCGCTCGGCGACCTTTAAGGCCAAATTGAGTGGGCCCAAAGCCTCTTAGTGTCGCTGCGACAGGAGACGTGGCTGATGCGGACCCGCCCAGGCCGCGGAGCTGGCGTCGTCCTGCCCCGGCGACCGCCTTCCGAGGACCGGGGACAAAACTGACGCGTCGCTCGTCCCAGTCCGGAGGCCAAATCGCAGCGTGGGGACAGAGCTGCTCTTTGCTCCTCCTACCCTGGCTCCCGAATTGTTAAACTGCGCCGCCGCCGAGTCGACGCGGTAGATAGCCGACCCTCCTACCGGCCGCTGATTATTAACGAGCCCGTCCATAATTAATGAGATTATTCGGCCTATCTGCCGCGTGTATCGCGCCGTGGCAGCTTTTTACGGCTGGCTCAAAGTGCCGGCCGAAATTCGACCAGCTCTTACAGGTGCGGGCGGCGGCGGGCGCGGCAGCCGGTGTGCGCGACACGGGGACACGACGGAGCGGTATCGGGCGCCTCGAGATACTGTCTGTCAGGGGCGGTCCGGTCCCGCGGACAGTCCTGCTGACGGTCCGTGTCGGGACTGCTGATTGGCGACGGCGGCTGAGAGGTGACTGCTGAGAAGTGGCTGCTGAGAGAGGCTGCTGAGACATGGCTGCTGAGACATGGCTGCTGAAACATGGCTGCTGAGACATGGCTGCTGAGAGACAGTTGGAAAGAGACTCTGAAGGATGGCTGGCGCCGATGTCCGCTGCGGCTGTCGGCAGAGACGGCACTTCAGAAACACAGGGGCTCTGAGTGATGGCTACTGAGGAAGAGGCGTTCCAGAAGGAGCGACGGCTGCTGGTAGAAGATGCCTGCTGAAAACGGCTGCTGAAGACGGCTGAACACAGGGAAGCAGTTCCCGACTGAAAGGCAGCCGGGGATGGGACAGCCTACGGCATCACACCGAACGGCGAGAAAAAGGTAACAACAGGTGACTGTCACATTAGTTGACTGCCACCAAGCGCCGGCCAACCTCGCCTCGACGTGTCTTCTCCACCAGAGACGCTGCAGGTCCATCCGGGCGCTCACCTCAGCCGGCAGCCGTCAGCGCGCCCTCCCGTGGCGAGGGAGGCGGTACGTGTCCGATACGATCGGCGCACGACGCGCCGGGCCGGCCACCCCTCAGCGGACCGAGGTCACCGTGTCAGCGCCGGCAGCGCCGCCGCCGCCGCTGCGGCAAATCGAAAACACGACAGCGCATTTGTACGTGTCCTTGGGCGGCCGCGGGCTGCGGGGATTAATTGTGGGACGTCGCGTCGGCGCTGCGCCGGCCGGCTGACCGACGTGACCACCGTGACCTCGCGGTACCCCGGACAGGGAAGGGTCTCTGGGGAGGGGACTCCCGCCTCTTGCGGCAGCTTCCCCGGACGGCGCAAGCTTGTCTCCCCCCTCCGGTCAGCTGGCACGACCGGCACCGAATGCAAATCCGGTTTGTAATCAGTGACACGGGGTCGGTGACCCAGCGTGCACCCGAGATGAGTTATTGGGATCCCCAGCGAAGGAGAAACTTGAATTCACACCACGCGCTGCTGGAGCCCTACCGTATATTGCGCTGCAAGGCTCAATATTATGCAGCAAGCCGGTTATTGATGACACCTACGAACAGACTGCACGATGGCAGTCATTATTATTAAGAATTGCTTTATGAGTATGAAATGTAACCGTGGTATACAATGCAAGATATCAACGTACCTCCATTACTCTTTCCCTCTGCAGTGCTGTAATTTCCTCGGCCGACATAACATTAGTTACGAGGTAAATGGTTTGTTCCGCCTACCCAGTTTACTCATTTCGTCCGTCTTTCCTCCACGTTTGGCGCCCGCCGAGTTAATGGAATTTCCGCCTGTCTGTGGCGTACACGCCATGTGAACGCCTCGCACTCCCCCTACTGACCGCTTTCGGCGCTGTCATAACGTCCTCCCCCTCCATAATCGAGCCGGCAGATTTTATCTGCGCTTTTTATTGAAACACGCCACGACCGAACACGAAAATCAATTACGAATTTCACAGGTGATCGCCAGCTAATGACCCATTGTCTGATGAGCATGGCGGCCCGACTCCGACACAGCATCGGCGGGCCGGCGGTCGGGTCCAGGCGCTGGGCCGACGGCACCCTGACAGGGGTCGACCTGGGGCGGCGGCCCACCTGCGGCGGGGTCTGACCCACCGCCAGTGAGGCAAGCGCGCCGCCGCCCCAGCCAACATCAGCTGCGGCTGGGGCCATACTTTATGGCATATTCAAGACCATTGTGTTTTGAGATAGGACCCGATTGGGAAATTGTACGTGTGGGCTCTCTCGGTTCGCCCGCTGCGATTTGAAAATGACAGCCCAGCGGTCCGTAGATGGTTTGCTTTGTTGCGCTGACTAGAAAGCAAATGTTTGGCCTACTCGAGCGCTGCTCACGTATAAAGCGGCATCGACCGACCGAGCCCGGTGGGCGGACAGCTCTCGCTGGCGACCAGCGCTAGAACGACCGCGGAGCTGCTCAAGGACGCTCGCCGCTGGGCCCGGGCACCACTCGCCGCGCCACAATCTGTTTACATCGGATGCCGGTCAGGCTCTCCGCCGAGGTGGCGCGTCGCGGGGAGCAGGGGCGACGGGGGAGGTCTGCAGTGAGTGTGGGCATGTCCGGGCGGTGTCCGCCGGCCCGGAACGGCCGCGGACTGCCGCTGCGGTCCGCCTTTCGTCCGTCCACCAGTCCGCCCGCCCGTCAGTCCGTCCTTCCGACCGCCCGCACCAGCGCTGGACCGGCCGACTGCCGCGCTGAACGAACCATCTGTTCGGCCGCTCGAGCCACGCCGAACCGGCCGATCGCCGCCTTGGACAAGCCGTCCTTCCGACCGCCCGAGCCACGCCGGACCGGCCGATCGCCGCGCTGAACGAACCGTCTGTCCGCCCGCTCGAACCGACGTTGGACCGGCCAATCACCTCCCTGAACGAGCCGTCCGTCCGACCGCTCGAACCGGCGCTGGACCGGC